GTTCTTCTAAGCAGTTGTCTAGAAAACTGAAACTGAAAATAGTTGATGCTCACAAAGCTGGAGAAGGCTATAAGAAGATAGCAAAGCGTTTTCAGATGTCAATATCCTCTGTTCGGAATGAAATTAAGAAATGGCAGTCATCAGGAACAGTGGAAGTTAAAGTCAGATCTGGAAGACCAAGAAAAATATCAGACAGAACAGCTCGCAGGATTGTGAGAAAAACAATTCAAAACCCACGTTTGACTGCACGATCCCTCCAGAAAGATCTGGCAGACACTGGAGTTGTGGTACACTATTCCACTATAAAGAGATACTTGTACAAATATGGTCTTCATGGAAGAGTCATCAGAAGAAAACCTCTTCTACGTCCTCACCACAAAAATCATCGTTTGAACTTTGCAAATGAACATATAGACAAGCCTGATGCATTTTGGAAACAAATTCTGTGGACCGATGAGGTTAAAATTGAACTTTTTGGCCGGAATGAGCAAAGGTACGTTTGGAGAAGGGGCACAGAATTGAATGAAAAGAACCTCTGTCCAACTGTTAAGCATGGGGTTGGATCAATCATGCTTTGGGGTTGTGTTGCAGCCAGTGGCACAGGGAACATCTCACGAGTAGAAGGAAAAATGGATTCAATAAAATTTCAGCAAATTTTGGATGGTAACTTGATGCCATCTGTGAAAAAGCTGAAGTTAAAAAGAGGATGGCTTCTACAAATAATGATCCTAAACACACCTCGAAATCCACGGGGGATTACATCAAGAGGCGTAAACTGAAGGTTTTGCCATGGCCTTCACAATCTCCTGACCTCAACATAATTGAAAATCTATGGATAGACCTTAAAAGAGCAGTGCGTGACAGGCAGCCCAGAAATCTCAAAGAACTGGAAGACTTTTGTAAGGAAGAATGGGCAAAGATACCTCAAACAAGAATTGAAAGACTCTTGGCTGGCTACAAAAAGTGTTTACAAGCTGTGATACTTGCCAAAGGGGGCAGTACAAGATATTAACTCTGCAGGGTGCCCAAACTTTTGCAGACGCCATTTTTTTGTTTTCTGTTATTTTGAAAGTGTAAATGATGGAAATAAAATCTAACTTTTGTTGACATATTATAAGAATGTCTAATCTGTAATTTGATGCCTTTTGGAGATTTTTCCATCTTTCCTTGGCTTCTTTATGCACATTAATATAAATTTTTAGCTGGGGTGCCCAAACTTTCGATCCCCACTGTATTTATATTATCATTTTTTTTTTTTTTTTTTTTTTTTTTTACTATTTTGGGCCAGTTTTCCTTTTTTAATAATAATAAAAAAAAAATCAGGAGATGTCCATTACCACCAAATGAAAGCCCAATTTGTCCTGAAAATAACGCAGTATAATTCACCCGGATGTACAAAGTAATTGTGATGATATATATGGTTTTACGAACACATGTCAACGTTGCAAAATTGTGCTTAGGCATTTAGATTTGTTTTACCCTTAGACGGGAAGGGGTTAAAAAGCATCCACAGCCCTATTAGAAAAGCCTGCCCTTTGCCAGCATGCTGCTGAGAAGGACCCTTGCTCTCTGTTTAGAAGTAGTAGTCTCTCTGCAGATGATACAAAAAAGCTGATGCAGCTAAACATTAATGTAAAGACGTGTAGAAACTCACCTTTTCAATGGGACTTTATACAGCGAACACTATCGGCATTTTTAAAACTCCCAGTGTGCATGAGGCCTAAAAGTGATGAAGATTCCAAATTTTGAGCGGTCCCCAGAACAAGGATAGAGAGGAAATTATCCAACAGGGACAGCTGTCTGCTAGGAGACTGCCCTCAATTTTGGACAGATTTCTTCCCTTCCGTACTCTTAGTTTTCCGAACTATGTGTATCTAAAACTTCTTGTTTTCACTTTGAACAAAACTTTCTGCACCAGAAAATTGGTGCAGGAAACTGTGGGGAGTCGCGTGCGCCACGTTAACAAACCGATAAACTTGTTTCGGGTCTATCTGCGCCACGCGTGTGTGTGTGTGTGTGTGTGTGTGTGTTGTTGTGTGTTTTTTTTTTTCTTTTAGCTTTCTGTGACTAAGAGGTTGCGACAGTTTTTAGTATAGAGAACTGCCTCAAATCCCTGCCAAGCAAGACCTGGAATGCAGGCTGTAAGCTGTCAGAAAACCACTCTATGCTAGCAGGAGCTGGGCCTGCACAGTCCTCTCACCTCCTGTGCTCAGTGGGGACAGGGACATGCAGAATAATCTTTGCATTCTAGATTATAGAATGCGGATCAGATTGCTCCTAATGATCACCCCTTTTTGTTAGGAGAATCATGTGCTCTACTTTCTAGGTTTAGAAGAGTGGTGCAGGCTTTATGCTTGCTCCACTCTAATCCCCCCCCCCCGTGACATTATTTAGCACATAAAAAATATATAAAATTGTCAATGGATCCTTCCATGAGGATGACTGTTACTTGTCCCACTCAGCAGTGCTTCCCTTTTCAGATTCCCAACAGTGTTCCTGGACAGGTATGTCCCTTCTCTTGATGCACTAGAGCAGTGATATCGAACTTCATTTCTGTGTGGGCCACGTCAGCATAATGGTTGCCCTCAAAGGGCCAGTTGTATCTGGAAGACTAGATGTCCAGAGCACCCTTCCCCCTTACCTCAGATGTTAAGAGCCCCCCCACCATCAGAAGTCAAGAGTCCTCCACCCTCCCTTACATCATAGTGCCCCTTACCTTGTGCTGCTGCTGGGAAGAAGCTGGGGATGGAGCTGGACAGCAGAAAGTGCAGGGTCCGAGAAGGGCTGAATGCTGAAAACCAGGGCAGGTGGAGACTAGGGGGAGCTGCGGCTGCACAGATAGTCAAAGGATTTGTAGGAGGAGTTTTTCCCTCATCTTTGCTGCCGACTACTACAACTGGGGAGTGGAGATGAGCCTTTCTGTGGCTGCATGGAGAAACACAAGATCTGGCGGAGGAGTTCTGTCCTCTTCCCTGCTGTCAGCTGTGGAAACAAAGTGGGGGTAGAGGCAAGAGAAGGAAGGTGTTGCAGCTGATGGGAGAGGTGTGAGGGCCACATGGAATGTCTTGGTGGGCCGGATTCGGTCTATGGGTCTTCTGTTTTGACATGTGCTCTAGAGGAGGAACTAGCACCACTTTCAGAAGTTGGTCATGTCTGCAGTGCTTCCTGCCCATAGTGACAGGTTCCCTTTTACACATCAGTGGCTCTCTTCCAGGGTGCATCCAGACAATGGAACATCTCAGCAGGCTCAGAGGAAGTCTCATTTTTTATTTAAAGGTTGGCCTTTAGGTCTCATTGGAATGCATATAACCTACAACAAAGGCAGAGAGACCGTAAAAGAAAAGTTTAACGCACTATGTTGCAATGGAAGGCGTTTTGCTCTCGTCCTGTTGGGCTCTTCTGTATGCGCGGCGCGTGATCTGTATCTATTGATTTATACTGTGCATTCACCAGAATAGATCTGGCTCTATTAGTTGCTCCGTTTTATGGATTTCCTCTGCATATATGAAGATGTCCCCTCCCGTTCCTCAAGGTCGGTTCAGTGCTTGATGGCACCACACATGTCACAATGTCATATGCTGTCTTGTTCTCAGGTGCTACATATTTGCTGAGAGATTATTCATGGAGGATTGAGAGTAGCCTATAACTTTTTTTTTTTTTTTAAAGACCTGTGCTTCCATATTATCCATCAGCTGTGAAGTGTGGAGTATAGAAGGAAATGTCCCGAGGGTGGGAAGGTGATTTCAAAGGGTTACTGTTGTTCTACAGAAAGGATGCCTAGGTTCCTTTTTTTCTTCCTGGCAGGCCAGTGTGCGCTTTCAGCTCTTATCTAAAGAGATGACAGGGATATGTCCTTTGATATAGCACTGAATATATCTGCAGACATCTTTTGCGCATACAGTGGAAAGGATCTTCAACTGGGAGATGAAAAATGTATCTAAACCCAAAAGTGTATCTAAACCCAAAAATGTAATCTACTACAGCAGTCTTTGATGTGGTGGCAGCATTAGTTGTTCTTTGAAGATTATTTTGCTTTTGTTTTACCTGGTCATTCTACAAATAACATAAAAACATACTTCCTGTCTCTGGGTGGCTACACCCAGCTATGGAGGGGCAATGGTTGTCACCCTAGGTTGCTCTCCAGACAAGGACTACAAACATGTCTCTCCATAAAAACATACTTCCTGTCTCTGGGTGGCTATACCACTCCTCTACTGAGCTATGGAGGGGGCAATTGTAGTCCTTGTCAGGAGAGCAGCCTAGGGTGACAACCATTGCCCCCTCCATAGCTCAGTAGAGGAGTGGTGTAGCCACCCAGAGACAGGTAGTATATTTTTATGGAGAAGTGTGTTTTTATGGATAAGCCCTGGCCCACCCTTTCCTGAGGAGCAGCCAATTGGTGCTCATTACACTGCAAGGTATCTCCCCTGCTAGTCCCCGGGTGCAGTGCTGGAGAGAGGCAGGGAGGGGAGGAGGAGATAAACGTGTAATATTTTTAAACATTGTGCTGTTTATCTCCCCATAAAGCCCCTTTTTTTTGTTTTTAAAAGCCCCAGATATTCCTAATATCTTTTTTTTTTTTTACAATTTTTTTTTTTAGATAGAGAGAGAGAGATATAAGAGAGAGAGAGAGAGAGAGAATTTTTTCATATGGACAAATAGATTGTCATGAGGGACAAGTAGCTTGGGGCACCGATATATTTTTATATAATTTTTTTTTTTCTTAACCCTTTGAGGACCGTAAGATTTTGGAACGCCAAAAGAATCCATTTTTTTGTTTTTAAAGTTCGTACACTTTCAGTTGCTGTAACTAAGCCATTTCATGAAATAATTGGCAAAAAGCTAGATCCATTTGTTGATAAGAACTAATATTTTTTTGGTTCAAGTCCAAAAAAATAAAGGGTTTTTTAAGTTCTTAATCAGATGATACACGCAATTAAAAACATGGGACAAATACGTCCCTTGGTCCTCAAAGGGTTAACCCTGATTTACTAAAATAATTGCATTTTTATGTTCTGTGTATTGTGGGAGAGCAGATATAGTGAATGCAGGGTCCGGGGAGAGCAGATATAGTGAATGCAGGGTCCGGGGAGAGCAGATATAGTGAATGCAGGGTCCGGGGAGAGCAGATATAGTGAATGCAGGGTCCGGGGAGAGCAGATATAGTGAATGCAGGGTCCGGGGAGAGCAGATATAGTGAATGCAGGGTCCGGGAGAGCAGATATAGTGAATGCAGGGTCCCGGGGAGAGCAGATATAGTGAATGCAGGGTCCGGGGAGACCAGATATAGTGAATGCCGGAGTTTTAGGAACACATTAAGGGAGATTTGAGTGAAGCTCTCGGTAAACAGAGGCAAAAAAAAAGGAGATCCTCCGCGTACTCAAATGTGTGGAGCTTATAGCGACAGCCGCATAACGTGGTTGTGAGTATATGGTGCAAGTCAAAGAAAATTGCATGGGTAACCAGATGAGATATGGTCTGGAGGAAAACCCATCTATTGTATGTACGATCCTAAAACTGTTGCGAAGGGCCCAGGGAATTCATATATTGAACACAAAGCAGGTGCTAAACCACTATGTCCTCCTTTGTTCGGTGTAAAGAGAAAAACATGTATGGTGTGCCACTTACATCCAGAAGGTGTAACAAATCCACAACCCCACATGCAATCCAGTGTTGGTGAAGAAAGGTACAATCTATGTAAAAAATAATATACAGCTGTAAAGGACTGTACAAAGTAGGTAATGATGAAACACCCAAGCAGAGGTGTTTCATCATCAATGAAAAATATACAAAACGTTATTATCCGGTAATAAAAAATGAAACTAAATATTCCTGATGCCTTCCATTTGTGGAATGACGTGTATCAGCCATATAACATTAAAAAAAAGATGCAATCTGGATTGCAGCATCTGTATGAGGTCAATAACGCATGTCCAGATGGCCCTATGCAGGCATCAGAACTTGATATGTGTTATTGAATTAAAAAGTATAATGCTTGTGGCAGCATGGAAAAATCTCAATAAATTTACTATAATGTAAATTTCCTCTGTTTGACCCTGATCATTGGCCACGCCTAAAGTTCATCCAGTAATCTGAAATCGGCAGCAGATTATTTCTGTATAGGGAGAAGTAAGTGAAGAGAGGGGCCCCTCTCTTCACTTCTGTATGACCTTTGCTATATGGTTCTCTGTGATTGTTGATCTCCCAGTGACCAGGGTACATCGATGATTACTGCTGTTTTTTGACCTAATGTGATGTGGTTCAATTTGAGGTGAGCGTGCATTCCTGGTGATGGTGGATATCACACAAGCACAGTAAAGGAGAAGAGTCATTTCTTTCTACTATTCACTTTATGGACTATTTTGCACTGTTTTGATGCTATGATTTTAATCTTATTTATTTTTTTCTGTGAGAAAATTAAATATATAAATTGTGCCGCGCTCCTGTGTATAAATAATTACAATATTCACTATTTCAAATGACAATCCAAAGTAAGAAAAAAAAAAAAAAAAATTTATAAAATGATACATATACTTATACTTATATCTAGTGCATAAAATACAATTGTATTTTATGCACTAGATATAAGTATAATATATGTATTTTTATAAATTTTTTTTTTTTTTTTTTTTACTTTGGATTGTTATTTGAAATAGTGAATATTGTAATTATTTATACACAGGAGCGCGGCACAATTTATATTTAATTTTCTCACAGAACACTGTCTAATGAGTAGGTGTGAGTGCCAGCGAACCACAGGTGTATCATATATTGTGTTTTTGTTTTGTTTGTCAAATTAATTAATGGTAATAGTTTAGACAAACACCACAGTAGCTCACAAGTACACTCATTTATTTATTTATTTTTTCACTGTTTATTATTGGTCCCATATTTTTTTTATATAACCTGGGCTAAGGTTTTTTCTATATGTGGACCTCATCCACACTAGGTATTTAGTGGAATATACACTAACACTATATATGTATTGTTGATTGCTTGAGGATCTTATCTATTTATATTTTCATGCTGGTTAGTATCAGGGTGGATTTGATTTTAAATCACTAGTCAGTAAGGCTTGATTTAAATCCAAGTTTTCTACATAAAGACTAATTCTTGCTGGTATAACTTTAATATGCAAGTAGATGAAGATTTTTAGAATAACAACTTTTCATATTAGTTTTTTTTATCCCCAGTTTAATAGGTTAATCATTCATATTTGGACAACTTTTCTGTTGTACTTAGGAAGGAGAAAAATAATCATTACCTTAATATAACAATTTAAATAGATTTATTCAACTGAAACAATAACATCCCAGCATATGTGATTTGCTTAAACATCCATGTTTGGTAACTAATTTGGCTAAACAAAATATATATATTTTAAGAAACTTAGACTGTCAGCCCCTCCCTCCTCACACTTAGTTTCACTTTCTTCTTGTGCAGATCTATTCCACTCCAAACAATCAGAAAAATATTGTTTCTATTCTATTCACTGAACTTCTTGCAACTTAGCAGTGAAGGGGTTGATTCTGTATTCATAGGTTTGTAGAAGTTAGGATGAAGGTCTTTTTCTTAACTCTGTTCATGTTATAACATTTTTGCTGTGAAGAGGCATGTGATCTCCGCTGAGTCAAATTCAGTTTTGAGAACTGCAAAAGTAAACCGATCATCTGTGATAATATCTTGTAGGCAGAGAAACTGCCCAATAATCTTACAAAAACCTCTGGAAGAGCATGACATTGTGAATGGATTCATGGAATTTATTTACCAAAAATATTAAACATATACAGCCTTATTCTACATAATTAAAAAACTAATCTTTATTTCATAATGGAATAACCTTTGGATGGTAATATATTTTTCTCCAAAAAGCATTTTATTTAAAAAAAATCCGATTTTAAATAAAAAAAAATCAGAATTTTTTTTTTTTTTTTTTTTTTTTTTTTTTTTTTAATCATTGATTTTTATCCACCCTGGTTAGTGTAGCACGATTTTTTTTTTTTTTTTTTTTTAACATAAGAGGTTATCCTTGCCTGCTGTGTGCAAAGATATTATATTACACAGGTAACATGCCGTCTGTTGTGGTAGTCTCCGCTGGTGTTGTCTGTTGTACTCTCCTTCAGGTGCTTCCTGTGCAAGCCAGTTGCTGGAGAGGCCCCATGCATGCTCCTGTTCAGTCCTGAGGCAGGCTGTGTGTCTATATACACTCTATATACACAGGTATTTGACAGCAAGAGGAGCTCTGCTGTCCTCTGTTCCTCCTGTGAAAGGGGGGGGGGGTGTGTGACATGTAGCCAAATAAGTGTTTAGGAAGAGGGGATTGGACAGGTAGTGGGGTGTGTTTTTTTTTTACCTTTTTAATACAAAGAATGCATTAAAGTAGAACTAAGGGGCAAAAACTTTTTTTTTTTTTGTGTGGATCAAGTGGGGAGGGACTAGGACACCTGTCAGATTTTTATTGCTGTCTGTGTCCACATTGGGGAGATTCACCCTCTCCATTTGTCCTTTTTACCGTTGTCATGAAAAGTGAACGTAAAAGGAAAAATCAAAATGTTGGGTTGTCAGAAACATAATAGAGGGGAAATCTTCCAATGGGGACACTAGTTCTGGTGACCTGGGGGTTCCCTAATTTGCAGGGATTTCCTCACTTCCTGTTTTAGCTATGGAACAGAAAGTTGAGGGAAATCTCCCCAATAATATACAGATGGCAAAAAATGACAAGGGTTCTAACCCTCTATATCCAAAATGGGGGGGGGGGGTTTTTTGCCTATAGATCTTTTTAAGGTGAAAAATGTTTAAATTTTAATGGAATTGTCTCAGTTGCAACCGTTCAAGGGCGGGAAAAAATGCCCCAAACAAAAGTCCCTTTTTGCTGACAGTGGAAACACTCCCTAAAGCCTTTTTTTATGTTTCATTAATGTGTGTGTGTGTGTGTGTGTGTGTGTGTGTGTGTGTGTGTGGTGTGCAATAAATAAATAATAAAAAAAAAAAAAATAAATATATATAATTCCCTTCAGAGTTCTAGACCGTGGGGAAGGGTTGGAGCTTCTGTCAGATTTGTATTGCTGTTTGCGCCTCTGCTGAGATTTACCCTTTCTATTTGTCCCAAGCATTATTGCCACCAGGACTAAAAATTAGGTAAAATCCGAAATGTGGAGTTGTCACCAGAACAAAGAGGGACAGGAAATCTTATGACTTTGTTTGTTCCAGTGACATATGTCCAAGAGGGGATACCTTACTTGGGAGAGATTTCCTTTTATTTCCATTGGACAGGAAGTAAAGGTAGCTGCCCGCAATTTGAGACGGATGAAACTGATGTGGGTTTTTTTTTTTGTTTTTTCTTGCCCCCCCCCCCCCCCCACTTACCTATCCCAAAAAAAGGAAATTAAAATTTTGGCTTTTAGATGTTCTTTAAAATTGCACTTAAAGCGATATTAAAGTCTTGAGTTTGTTTAAAAAAAAAAATAATAAAAAATTATACTTGCCTGCTTTGTACAGTGGCAGAGCAGCCCTGATTCTCCTCTCCTCTGGTACCCCCCTGGTGCTCCAGACCTCTCCCTCCTGCCCAGTGTCCCCATAGCAAGCAGTGTGCTAAGGGGACACTCAGCAGGCTTGCTCCCGAGCTGCTTCTCTGTCCATTCACACAGAGTGGTGCTCGGTTTCTCCCCCGCTCTCTCATCATTGGCTCACTGGCTGTGATCGAGAGTAGCGGGAACCAGTGGCTACTGTTGCTGTATCAGCCAATGAGGAGAGAGCGACATGGGAGAGCCTCTGCCCTTGTGCACATAGCTGGATTGGGATGGGGTTTGGGGTAAGTATTGGTGGGGGGGCTGCTGCAGACAGGGTTTTTTTTTTTTTTTTTTTTTTTTAACCTTCTTGCACAGAAAGCTTTGAGCTTTCACAGCCACTATAATTCATAGCCTGTTTAGCATGTGCCCTGAAATGGAAATGCAAGCAAAATTTTTTAAATTAAAATGTATTTGTATTCCTTTCCAGGACTTGCTGATGTACTTGTTACAGTTAGTCCAAGCTCTGAAATATGAAAACTTTGAGGACATAAAGAACGGACTAGAGCCAACAAAACGGGACAGCCAAGGCCCTATGTTGGATAGCATGATGACATCGGGAGTAAACCCTTCTGATGTGGAAAGGTGAGTCAGTCTGGATATCAAGCCATTTGACCATTGGAGTACAGTCAGCCAACAGGCACAATCATTTCCTGATATGAATTAGGTCAGGTATTTAGTTATTTCTGTAGTAAGGCTACAGCTGATATTTTTTTTTGCTTTCCTTTTGTTCAAGTTTTTAGACACATTGTGAATTGTGTTGCAAATGGAAACTGATGAGATCTTGAAATCTGATTTAGTTTGGTGTGTTAGGGTATTTTTGGTAAATCAGCAGTCATATGGAGCAACTGCTCTTCCATTTTGTTTTTTTTTGTCTAATTTTATTTTTTTTCTTCTAAAGGTCTTTGTTTCTCACTGACCTGTTAAAATTCTGGTCATAAGTCACTCACCAATGATTGATTTAAAAAAAAAAAAAAAAAAAAAAACCCCAAAAAAACAAAAGGC